AATTAGCCAAATGTGGCTTCTAAACTTGTTTTCAGCATCCATAGACGCATGCATCGTGATCAGCGTGATCTAGACTACCTAAGAGCATCATGATTGTATTTTATCACACCTTGATTCAAGGTGGAAAGCCACCAAATGTGCACGAGGTGAGCGAGACTGGTTCTGCGCTACTGTAGCTAATATAGACAGAGCCAAGCTCAAGATAAATAATGGATTGTGGCCTCTGCAATTTTTTTCAGCGTTCATCGACTAATGTATCATATTCAGCGTTCTTCAAACTACTTACGGGCATCGTGTTTGTATTTTATGAGACATGGATTCGAGGTGGAATGACGGGTTTCAGAATCCTTTGCGCTACTATAGACGGAGCCCGGTTTAAGAGGATGATGCAGTCTCAGGATAGACCCGTTAAACCGAGCACTCCTCGGCTATCAGGTCCTCTGTGGCTCAGTCGAACGACTGCTGGGGTACGATCAAGGTACAGAGTTGCGCATCTCTGTTACCGAGGTTCGAAGCCTGTCGTTCGAAAAAAAAAACACGGAGCTCTCAAGGAGAGCGCAGTGGACCACAACCCCACAGGAGAAATATCAGCGCACCACAAACATCATCAGACCAGGGACCAGGCGGGTCTCTGGTCAAAACACCAATTTCTCCCTCCGTGGGTTACGGCCACAGAGGGCTTTTGCTATTTTTTTTATTTGAAGAGGCACATCGAAGGATGCCTCTCGCTATATTTTTAAGGGGGCTGGGAGGCTTTATTCCCACAAATAAGCCTCTAAGCCGCATCTGCGGCAGTACCCCCCCCCTGTACTACTACTTCTTGCCATAATACCATTTCAGGAAGACAGATTATCAGACCTGAGATATAGTCAAACTAATGAGCGTTGGTTAGTTAGTTTGGAACTGGGAGCTGAGCACTAAGCTCCTAGTTAAACACAGCTCACAATAAAACGTTGTGCACCCGCAGACGGACTTGTGTTTTCACTTTGAGGTATATCCACCAACACACAACAACCAACACCTACTACAACAACATAGTAGTAGACAACCTGAAACGTCTACGGACTGGTCTTGCTACGGCGGATATATGCCTAAAAGTCGATTCTTCTCAATGTCCATGCGTTTATAGTGTAACCTAGCAAACGCCTTTCTGGGTTCTGAGGCCTCCAACTTGCCAATTAGTGATGCTAGCTGACGAATGGTCACAGTTTTCTTTGTGAGCATTTCTCTACATAGTGTCCTGATTTTACACGTCTTCTCCTCCGTGAGACTGACAGTCATTGACCTAGAATCCAGAACATATCCCAAATATGTAATCACTTGTTTTGGGACTAATTTTGATTTCTCTGGGTGGATGGTAAAGCCAAGGGAATCAAGCAGTTTTGTGGTAGCTTTGACATTAGCTTGACACTGTGATTTCGAGTCTCCTTTGAGTATACTGTCATCTAAACATCCTGATATTGTGTGCCCTTCTTTATGAAGTTCTGACAAGACCACTTTAACTATCTTCGTAAATATATGAGGAGCGGAACTAAGTCCATTTGGCAGGCACGTGAACTGATAAAGGACGCCATCCCAAAAGAATTTCATGAATTTCCTGGAACTTTCATGTAACAGTATGGTGAAATAATATAATAATATGGGGCGTGGTGGGCGAGCTGGCTAAGGCGCCAGGCTAGTGATCCAGCGAGGTTGAGATGTCGGGATCGAGCCAACCTGTGACCGGGTGTAAAAACCTTGGAGTCAACTTTGTGTGCAGACTCTTTTAGTGTTGTCACAACCCCTAGTGTACAGTACACAACCCTGTGCACTTAAAAGAACCCACGAATCCGTTGGTATATGACCAGATGGTGGCCACATGAATATGTACAAACACCTAGTTGCGGGTACAGCAACGTGCAGTGAACTTGGACATAGTACTGTGACTATGTGTCCCAGTCCACCCAGGTGTGAATGGGTACCTCGTTAGGATATATAACTCGGTGCACCTAGTGGCTGCAAGAGTTGTATACTCCCCAGGGAGTTGATATTGATAACACGTTGTGCTGTAGAGATTGACATCCAATGATCGAGGGGAAAAGTACCAGCGCCTTGAGCAAGCACTAGTTGCCTGGATATGTGTGCGCTATAGAAATATTGTATATTATATATTAAATAAGCTTCCTTTAAATCGACACTAGCAAAAAAACAATTTGGTTTCATAAAGTTAATGGCTGACTTAATGGTATCCATTTTAAATTTGATCTTGTCCACCTGTTTGTTCAGCACAGTGAGATCTAATATAATCCGGATACTGCCATGTCTTTTGTCCCTACAAAAAAAGTTTGACACAAACTGATCAACACAGAACTCAGTCGTTTCGATGATACCTCTTCTGAGCATGTCAGTGATTTTATTACTGATATCCAATTGTCCCTTTTGGTAAAATTCAGCCCTTTCGGTGGTCGGGATTGGCAAGGTTTGTGTTCAAATTCAAGTTTATAACCTTCACTGACAGTGTCTAATATGTACTGGTCAGAAGTAATTGCTTTCCATTCGGTTAAACTCAAGCTTGTGCCACCCGTCATGCACTTATCAACAGTGTGAATAAAATTGAAATTGTCGTTTCTCACCTCGTCATCCTTGTCCTCAGAGCAGTCTGAAACTTGCTCTGATGATGTTGATAACCTCTCTTTTTCTTGAATGGAGGTCGCTCGCTTTGGGGTAAAAAACAATCTAGTTCACAGTATCGCTGGTGTCACCGATCCTTGTAGTGAGGTTGTATCCCACTCCGTTGTGGTTTCCATGACGACGAACTTCGTATTCTGCCAGATCCTTGTAGTGAGGTTGTTTCCCACCCCGTTGTGGTTTCCATGACAACGAACTTCGTACTCTGCCAGAGTCCGTGAGTTTCCCAGCCAGAGTTTTTGCTTCCGACAGTTCTTTTATCTGTTTCCCAGGTCCTCCCCAAACAACAAATCTGTGACTGGGTTTGCGTGGTCACACCAAATGTCTGTAAGTCACACTTAAGTCCTGGCAAAATTTGTCCTTTCTATGGTTTGTCAGCCGTACAAAGGCACCAGTCATAAGCTTTTATGAATCTGATGCCTTTTGGGCCAAACTTTTCAGACTGACATTGTTGGTCTTGTCTTTCGAAGCTGCCATAACTTCATTTGTCAGTTCTAACAACGGACAAATTTCCTTTGACAGAAGCCCTTGAAGTTTTTGTAGTTTGACATCATTGGACCGTGTTTGTGGTTTGACTTCATGACACATTGGCGTATTCACTTTGGGAACTGTCAGACTAGGGCAGTTTTCGGTTTCCGATACTTGTGTCGCTGGTCCTGGCCGTGGCTTTCAGGGTGTCTTGATTTGGTTCCGCTTCTAAGCCCTTCATTAACTGCTGTAGCCAGGACCCCATTCACTTTGGGTCCCAACTTGTCATCTGATTTGAAAATATCACCCAGTTCTGCAATAACATTTGCAACGGCACCATCACTCTCTTTGTCCTCGTCACTTGTGCCAATTTCCCCCATTATGTCGAGGTAAGGATCTCGCTTGCTTGCACAGTCATCTGGCTTGCTGTCTGATTTTACCCTGTTTTCCCTCTCGACTCGCCGTTTACCAAAATCACTGATATCGCTTAGCTTTCCGCTTTGAGTGAGCTGCTCCTCTGCATGGTCACTTTACAGGATCCTGCCTCCTGCTCGCCTGGCAGTACTTGGCTTGGAGTATAGGCACTTCGCCCCTGTTCTCTCCATTTTAGTAAGTTTTTCTGCCAAGGATGTAAGTGTTTGTGCCTGTTGCTGCTGCACAGCTAGGACTTTGGCAAGAATGGTATTAGCGCCAGGAGCGGCACTTGTGCCCTGAATCTCCTCGCCTACCTCATGTTCCACAGTGTCCCCTTCTGACGCCATCTTGGCCTGTGGCTCGGAGACAGTTCCGGTCGAGTGAGACTTCTGATAAAAACAATGGCTATTCGTGGCAGGATCACTTAAAAGGAATGGTTAATCCAAACTTGGAATCTTGAAGTAAAACACACTATTACTCCCTCATCCAAGCACTTCCGTATGAAGAATCCAAAGCAAGTAAGAATCACAAGAAAATGAAAAAAACGTCAAGAGAATAACTAAGAACATATTCGCTACTGACTAGTATGCATGCGCGCCTCTCACGTAACCCCTAAGTCAGGAAGATGGTTCATGGAATTACTATCAAACTTCACCTTACAGGTAAGTCTCGTTTAATTGTGTGATTATAAATCCTACACTGACGTCCTAGTGAACTTTAAGCTCTTCTGAGGAAGTTCTCAAAGATTATCCTTTGCAGTACAAGTGCACATATTAACCCTGTACAAATAAAAGAATGAGGTAGCACAAAGACCATGGAGCCCCCATCATTACTCACAACTATTTTAGATGTTATATCACAAGGGTATGTATATCTTCCAGTAATTACATCTTACAACAAATATGAAACAATGGTGCATGCTTCATCAGAAGTGGTAAGATTTATAGATCATTTAAAAATGCCATACTTTTGAAAAGTATGCTATGTTAGATGTCACAAACACTTCTGAAAGAACTTTAAGGCCTATATATAACCCTACATTAGAAACAAATGAATTTGTACACTGTATATACATGCAATCTAAACTATTTTTTGTTATCCAAAATTGATTGTTATGTGTTATTTCTAAAGTAAAGACAAAACTTTAATTTACAAAGTGAAAGTGATACATGTATAATCATGTTCCTTGCTCAAACAACTATATATGTTTGAAAGATTCCGTTTTCTTAATCATTCTTGTTTGATATAATTCCAGTAACCTGTCGCATGTGATACAATGTAAGGATAAACATAAAAATAACCAAATATATCATATCGACGTGCATTTGGCCAAAATACAACATAACGTCTTACCTGTCTGCCGATAGTGAATGGAAAGACTGGGAAACTACAGATGGGGAATTCCCTATCAGGAGTACACGAGACCCTGCGTGATCTCAAAGAAGGTCAAGGCCGTAGGTGAAATGTATATACGGTGATGTTTGGCCTAACAGTAACACTACATCTACCATTGTTTTGCTGGTTAATCATAATGACATCTTGGTGATACATATATAATGGACCATCAAAGTGAAGGAGATGGAAATACTGTAAGAAAGTTATCATTTAGTGCCTTTGACTGTCAAGTCCTATTACTAGCGAGAGTTGTCCAGTATTCGATCACATTGTTTTGTTAACCGTTGCAATTTGTTGTCGCAAATGTGGTTTGATATAACTGTTTTAAGTGCATGTCATTTACTGTTCAGTAATGTTTTTGTACTCGTGACTGTATATGTGCAGTTCATTTCACTGACGTGATATAATATCGATGAACAGTCAGTAGCTACTCAGCCTACTGAAAGTATGTTCAAGTTTTGTCTCTTGCAAGGTCTAGAGTTCATAATGTGAACACAATCCAGTAAGACTTCCGCCAGTATCCCCCTTATATTTCATTCTGGTCAAATCATATCACCTGACATAAATATTCCTCATCTGATAAGAATGGGTTGTAACATGTTTCTTTAATTGTATCTGAACATACTGAAAGACATATCCAACTTCTAAGAGTGACACTGAAAGAATTTGTTCCTCGTCATTGAAATTTAGGGGTGATACGGGCGGAAGTCTTACCAACCATCCAATAGGTTATAGATTTGGAAAAAGGGTGAACATAGAAACGTAACCAGTAGAGTATGTAACGGTAATAATGCAGAGGCGGTTCCCCCTTACGCTGCACAAGTGACTACCTGAGAGGGGGGTCACTCATTCGCTATGACTGCCTGATCACAGACAGGGAAATTCTGCATGTCACACAAAACCTGTCTAAAAGTGTTATTTATGAAAATAATGAAACAAAATTTGCTACAGACATTGATAGGTGTTAAAGTTATTGATTGACATGAATGAAAACGTATAAAAAAACATTAGATAGTCAAATTTTGACAAAATGTGCAAAATTTAAGCAACAATTTGACGATATTGAACAGCAAATTTCACCTATGTGCATATTTTTCAGAAACTGACATTGAGTATTTTCTGAAAGCTATTTCATCGCAGATTCAAAATATATATGCAGCTTTCGAGGCACACCAACGCACACCCGTTTGTTATTGTGTTGAAACATGTTTACTCTCTTGAAAACTGCACAAACAGTCTCGTGAGAAGTGACTCAGGGGAAGCAAGTCAGTGATTTAGGGGTAAGGGTAACAATTCAGACAGTAGAAAGATTACTGTCAGTATAACCCTTAAATCAAATCATATTACCTGAATACATATCTATACAAAGATATACAAGTAATGAAATGTACCTTATAAAATAGGCGGGGTACATAAGGAACTCTTTACCTTTTATCCCCCGCATGTATATATCAAACAGAACCTTTAAGTGGTGCCTTTTGCTATTTGCAGATTTTGGGGCATTTTTTATTTTTCACGGATTCCATGGAAACATTTTGGACTTAGTCTTAAAGGTGGGCTTCGCTTTCTCGAGCATAACTTAAGAACTGTTCAATATTTTTCAACAAAACTTGGTACATATATCAAACAGAACCTTAAGTGGTGTCTTTTGCTATTTGCAGATTTTGGGCATTTTATTTTTCCGATTTCCATGGAAACGATTCGAACTTAGTCGCAAAAGGGCGGGGTAGGTTTAGACATCGAGCAAAACTTCGAAAACTTCTCAATATCTTTCAGCAAAACTTGGCAGATATGTGAGGCAGATCCCAAAGTGGTGGCTTTTGCTATTTGCAGTTTTGTCATTTTATTTTTCTCGGTTTCCATGGAAACGATTCAGACTTAGTCTCCAAAAGGGCGGGGTAGGTTTCGCTTCTGAGCACAACTCTAAAACTTCTTAATATCTTTCAGTAAAATTTGGCAGATATGTAAGCAGATCTTATTTTTTTCATCATTTCCATGGAAACGACTTTAAGTAACTGTCAGATGATTTGATCTTTCAAAGATGTGGGGGCCGGGGATATGTCATCTTCTGATGACTCTTGTTTCTCATCGCTAGAATTAAGGGGATACGGGCAGAAGTCTTACAGTGCTGACCTGCCGCTAATATGTTGTAAAGTTGTTTTTGATAAATTCAAGTTTCAGTAACCTTACACTTTAGAAGGTTCAATTATTTATATAGAATTATTGTTTTCTGTATTTGATTTTTAATACAGATGATACTTTATTGTTGCATTTGTGCCCAGACAAGGCATTTTAAACATTGAAAACAACATTATATGCTGTGTGATAATAACCATAATATTCTGTTCTGAGCCAACTTTGCTATGAATATCAGACTGAAGTTGAAATTACATGAAAATGAGCTTAACAACTCAATAACTTTGCGTCCATTTTAATACACATCAATTGAAAAAATGGCATTATCATATTGAAAATGGGTTGAATATCAAACCTTCAATTTGCTGGAAGTTAATATTGATAATTACAGCATTTACATTCGAATCCATTGTCATCTTCTTATCAATTCCAGGTTTTAGATGCTCGTGATGTGTATGTGTTAATGAGGCGTGGATGCCGGATCTCCAGAAATATCCGAGCATCATGGTACTTTCAGCATCTCAACTCTGTCATCCCGTTCACGCCCCAGGAACATGTGGTGAGTTTAGAATGTTCAAAATCTCAACTCTCTCCTCCTAGAAAGTCATAATTATGATCATTGAAAATATTTTTGTGATGAAAATTAAATTAAATCCTTTATTTTGTTGATTCAGGGGAGTCAGAAGAAGAGTTATCTATCTTGTCAGTGGTGCCACCAGATGGCCAACCACCACTCTCGCCAGGCCAAACCTACAGTGTGTGTATCACCCCACAGACCATTGTGACCTTCCTGGCTCTCTCGATATCGCCTGGCCTTCACCCTTGACCTTAGCCCTTCAATCATGTCTGTGGTAAGCTGTGAATGTCTGACTCTAATTCTGTTCCTCTGTTTTGTTGTCCTATTTGCATTTGTTATTATTTAAGTAAGGAAAAATTAAAACATTTAACATCTACCAGTAATTTTTTTGGTCAAAATAACTGTATAGCACCCCTTGTTTGTTCTATCTCTGAACAAACGTGAGTTTCTGTATCTGTGGTAGTCTGTTTTTCTATTGTAATTTAGCTCCTTCAGTTTTGTCCAGTTAGAGACCAACAATTGGATAATCTGTTGAAGGCTTGTGATTATTTAAAACAATATTTTATTCCATTAAATACTGAAAAAGTAATTACACACAAACATATGTTAGCTGGAGATGACATGACAAATATGTGTTGTCAACAAATATGGTTGTTGGGTGCATCCTTTCATTGCGAGGAGATCTCTTGAATCAGTGACCATAACAATGTTCTGCCTCCAACAACAACCTCAGCACCTACCTCAGTATATTGATTCTTTTTCAGAGAGATTGTCCTTGGGGTACTTATAAGCATTTAAATGTCCATTTAAATTCCCTACGACAGTTGTAACAATATTTGAATAAAAATATTTACAAAACAAAACTACGCTTTGTCTTGTGAGACCACCCTTACAGGGCCCTCCGCCCCCTACAGCCAAGAGCAGGTAACTCTAGACCATAACCTCGTGACCTCACTTTCCATCCTGTCGCTTTTACCGTATAACGACGCGGGTCCATTTCAAGAAGGTTTCTTTTCCCCGCGCAAAATTATGAGTGTTTCAGAAACAGCAACTGTATGTATGGTTCTCTTTTTCCCTGCATGGGCGATTTGGAGGCTTGTTCTGAACTTTTCATTCATAATTTCTAGTTGTAACTTGGTACCTGTCGCGTCGGCTCTCCGGTGTGCGGTCAAGATGGCGGACAGGTCCCTTCGCTAGCCTCCCTGTTCATTGGTTTCCTGTGTGGTTTTCAATGTTACAGGTGGTTATAGTAATTTTATTTATATGTTGTTACATGTAGGGCGTTTCCGCTGCTAGCATTTTCTATCTTACGCTAAAAGTCGAATTGTTAGTTATGTTGCGCTGCGATTATGGTTATTGTCAACTGTATGCTACGCTGTCGCATTAGTTGTGTAAGCCCATGCGTGTTTTTCATATATGTATGTGTGTATGGGGTTGATTGCTGCACAGGTTTTTACTTGTTGCAGTTTAAGTCCTGTACTGCGGCCTCGCTGCCATTCCCATCAGGGACACGCGCACAAGGTGTGTTTACGTTGCCTTATACAAACTGATCATGAGGAAGAGGGGTGTCCGGGCGCGGTGCGATTTTCATGACTCAAACCATTAAGGCACGACGGGTGGACCGGCTGTTTTACAGCAACCTGCTTCGGCGGGGGTGATTTCTGGACTCAGGATCCCCGGCCCTGCCGCTCACACACAAAAAAGGGGTCTACGGAGCCGCTTCCATGACAGAGCCGGCTCCCAAAAGAGCTAAGGTTTCCAAGGAGGCTTCTTTGGAGAAAACTAATACATCTATATCTCAACCTGCTCCTGTCTCTGCCACACCCCTGTTGTGTCGGCACCCGCTGTACCTGTTGACTCTTTAACTGCTTTGTTTCAGGAACAGATGTCGCCAGTGAAATCTCTGATCGACACGGGCGCTGGCTGGGTTCCGTGAAGGAGCTCAGCCGCCGGGTCGCCGGGGATGGATCTGACACATCTGGGGAGTTATTGCGCCCGAAGCTCGGCTCGAGAACGCGGGCCCCCAGGCAGCTTGATCCGGCTTCGCTGTGGGGATAGCGCCACCGGCACCTGGTGGTGGCCTAGCTTCACGCCAGGTCCGTCTACAGGTGGCTGGCGCCGGGCGATGCTCGGGATACCCGGCGCCTGGCAGCCAGTCTGGGTTGCCCGGAAACCTGTTGCGCAGGTTCCTCTTAGGTGCCTCGGTGACCTGGCGTGGATTCCACCCGGCAGGGCTTACTCGCTTCCTCTGGCCTCTTGACCTTTATAGTCTTTCTGGTTCAGCTCTGGCGATCCTCGGGCGGCTCTCTCAGGAGTATGAGAGCACGGGCGGCCGAGGATTGTGCCGAGGTGGATGTGGAGGATGGTGAAGGGAGGGAGGAGTCGGAGGCGGAGTTCCGCACACTTTGCTCATCTCTCGCGGCAGGTTCGGGATAAGATCGCCGGGCCCTGCCTCAGGTGGCCGCTACCGCACAGCGCCCGACCCCCGCTGGAGTTTCGCCCCGGGAGGCTTTCGCTTAGCCGGGTCGCCGAGGCACGCCTCTGCATTCTGCCATCACTGGTGAGTGAGGTGGTCAATCCTCTCTTGACTGGTGCCCGCACGCGTTTTGATTTGCCCGACGTCGGCAAGCGGTACCAGTTGGGAGAGGAGGCGCTGTTCGAGCCGCCAGTGGTGGATGAGCGCCTTTGCGTCCCGTCACCTAGGGGCTCGTCCTCATCTTCCATGGCCTCGCCAGGCAGGGCAGGCGCCCCCTTTTCCTACTAATTCACTTACGCTGAAGTCTGCGCATCGTCCTTCGAGGAGTGCTACCGTGCGCAGCCCAGCAATTAAAAGTGGCAGTCCACTCGGCCTACCTGTCTGCTCTGCAGGGACAGCTGGTGGCTGTCGGCGCCGTGCTCAGCTGCAGCGTGACAGCTCACGGGTGTACACTCTCATCTGGCTCGGGATAGCATTCGTGCTGTGCCAGCCAGATGATGGGTGCCGTGGATGGGCTTTGCGCCGCCTGTGGTTGTCCGTGGCGCTGTATTCACCGCCACGCAACAGGCGCTCCTGTCATTGCCTTATACCATGGGGTCCTCCCTGTTCCCTGGGACATTGCAGGTTGTAATGGAGGCCGCTGGAGGCTGTTTCTACCTTCAAAGACTCTAAGCCTTTGTTGGAGCAGCCCTCCGCCTCGCCACCGCCTTCCCCGCCGGCTCGCTTCCCTTCTGCCTTCTGCGGCGAAGCTGCAAAGTGGACTGCCCCTTTGCAGTCAAGCGAGCAGGCGCCAAGAAAAGGCAAGGGCAAGCCTGCCTGCCGCAGCAGCCTTTTCGGCAGGGGAAGCCATCCCCGGCTTCCCGCTGATTCCTTCTCCAGAGCTCCTTATTGTCCCCACTCACGCAAGCAGAGACTTGCCGACTGTGGGGTGCACTGCCTCATGCCACACGCCCCTGTCGGGCGTCCGGTTGTCCCTCTATTCCTCCGGGAGTGGGAGGCAGCCACCTCAAATCCCTGGGTCCTGTCCACGCTCAGGGATGGCCATTTGCCACAGTGGAGGCGAGATCCTCTGTCCTTCTCCGGGGTTCGGCACACGCCTGTGCCGACCTCCCGCGACAAGGCGGACGCGCTCCGTGCCGAAGTTCAGTCCTTACTGAACAAGGCAGCCATCGAGGTGGTTCCTGTGGGTCAGCAAGGAGAGGGGTTTTATTCCACCTACTTCCTAGTGACCAAAAAGGACGGAGGGTTCAGACCCATTCTGAATCTCAGAGGGTTGAACCAGTTACTGGAGGTGCCGTCTTTCAGGATGGAGACACTCAGGTCAGTGATCTCCTCCGTCGAGACAGGGGATTGGCTTACGTCAATCGATCTCAAAGACGCATACCTCCATGTTCCAATGCACCCCGAGTTCAAGAAGTACCTCCGGTTCTCCTTCGACGGGACGTGCTACCAGTTTCGCGTGCTCCCCTTCGGCATCTCCACGGCGCCAAGGGTGTTCACCAAACTTATGCTAATCCCAGCTCAGTTAGCCAGGTCTCAGGGCAGGTGTTGTCACCCGCACCTGGACGATTGGCTTCTCAGGGCCTTAGGTCCTCAGTTAAGCAGAGCCTCCACACTGTGCGTGATGGATACTCTGGTGTCACTGGGCTGGATTATCAACCTCAAGAAATCAGACCTCGTTCCGACGCAGGATCTGATTTTCTTGGGGGCCAGATTCAACACGGAGCTAGGGATTGTTTCCCTTGCTCCGGACCGCATCGTCAAAGTCCAGAGGACTGTGTTACAGTTCCTCCAGTCGCCCAATGCGTCGGCCTGAACATGGCTTCTGGTTGCTAGGCAACATGGCGGCGACAGTGGACGTGGTTTGGCGGCGCTGCCTGAGGATGCGACCAGTTCAGCAAGCGCTAGCTCAGCTGTGGTCCCACTCGCAGAGCTACGAGATTATTCTCACGACGCCCGAAAGTGGTTAATTCTCATGGTGGACGGACGGACGGGAATTTGTCCAGGGGATCCCCTAGACACCTCGACACCTTCCCTCTCAGTTCAGACGGACGCCTCCCTCACAGGTTGGGGGGGGGTCCTGGTCGAGCACTCAGCCTCCGCCTCTGGTCGGAGCGGAAGTCAGCCTCCACATCAATGTGTTAGAACTGAGAGCAGTCCGCAGGGTGTTCGAAAAGCTTCCGGTGTTGGTTCAGGGCCACGTGGTTCGCCTAGAAATGGACAATCAAACGCCATGTCTTACATTCTCAAGCAAGGCGGCACAGTGTCCTCCGCCGCCCTTCAGGAGGCATGGCAGTTTCTACTGTGGTGCCATCAGTTCAACATTCGGTTTTGCCTGTTTATCTCCCCGGGTAGACAACGCCCGCGCAGATGCACTCTCACGGGCGTGATACTAGCCCCACACGAAAGTGGATGCTCGACCGGGAGATATTCGGGATTATCTCCCAGTTGTTCGGTCGTTCCAGGTGGATCTGTTTGCGCCTGGGGTGACGAACCAGATTCCTGTGTTTTGCTCTCGGATTCGGATCCGAGCGTTAGCCAACGACGCCTTTCAGCTCGATTGACGGACAGGGTACTGTATGCTCCCCTGATACCACTGATTTCCAGGGTCCTGTCACAGCTGACCGCGACAACCAGCTCGGCTACTTGTGCTTCTGGCACCCCTTTGGTCGGCACAACGCTGGTTTCCGTAATTCTCAGGTTTCTGGCTCAGCCTCCTGTTCTATTACCTTTTCGACCGACCTCCTATCCCAGAACGGAGCTTACCCACCAATCCCAGGATTCAGTGGGTGGCTTGGCCGCTGTCAGGGATCGCCTCGCGCGAAGGAATTCCTGCACCAGTTGCAGACACAATTCTGGCTTCATGGAGGGATTCGGACAAACGCTCAATATGAGGATAGATGGGCCTGTTATTCGCTGGTGTGTCAACAGGGGATTCTTGATCCCTTTCTACAGATTTAGTCTCTGTTTTAGAATTCCTCCAGTCTCAGTTGGACGCCGGTCTAGCTGCTTCAACTGTTCGAGGATATATTCTACGGCTATTTCTGGCGCTTCATATTCCTGTTGACGGTGTTCTCTTGGGGCAGCACCTCTTGTGCAGCGCTTTTAGCAGGCGTGGACAGAATCCATCCGTTGTCCGGGCGGATTAGTCCCGTGGGACTTGTCAATCGCTCTTGATTGGCTGTCCGTCCACTGTTTCACAATCTGTCGGCTCTTTCACTCCAGCTGTTGACGCGGAAGACGGGCGCTTTTGTGGCGGTGACTTCAGGCAGGCGGGTTGGCGATATTCACGCAATGTCGGCCGATCCCCGCTTTACTGTTTTTCACAAAGACAGAGTTAGCATACGGCTGCCTGATACTTACCGCCCTAAGAAGGATAGTCCCTTCCATGTGACGGCGCCTATTGAGCTCCCAGCTTTCACTCAGCCTTCCCTGTCCGTACCTCTCTCGACGACGCTTCACGCCTTAGATGTCCGTGAAGACACTTAAGGCTTATATCAAACTAACAAGGGTACCCGTAAGGGTAACCAATTGTTTTGTTGTTATGGCGGGTTCAGGCAGGTCTTCCGCCACCAAGCCAACCATTTCTCGGTGGCTTGTCTCTGCCATACATATGAGCTATATTCAAGCAGGGCTTATCCCGCCTGTAGGGTTGAAAGCTCATTCGGTTAGGGCAGTTGCTACATCGACAGCTTACGCTGCAGCCCTGCCCATTGAGGGAGATCAGCTCCGGGCTATTTGGAGTCAGTCCGAGTACATTCATCCGTCATTACCAACTTGACAGACTCTCCAGTGAGCTGCCTCTCGGTTCGGTCAGTCAGTTCTCTCCAGTGGGCATGGTTCCACCTCTCTAGCCGCATTGAGCTTTTGAGGATTTTATTATGTGAACCATTCTAGGCCAAATTTTTAACACTGGTGTTGGGTTTTAAAATCTTGTTTACATATTCCCTTGGTGACGGGTTTTATGTGGTGATGGTTTTATTCCCATGTCTTTTGCATTCTGCTCTAGACTTAACTGGCCTTGGAAACTTTGCTGAATATATATATTAAGGCATTTTCGCTTCTGGTGGCTTATTAAGGGACCCCTTATCTTCGCCTCGAAAGTGATTACGGGAGGGAGGGAGGGTTTGTCTCGTTGGTTTGCATTAGCGCAGGTTTCGGCTGGGCAATTTACATATGTTCGACCCTGACCCTGGCTCATGCCCCCGCCTGATTGGCTATGGTGGACACGGACCGGTAAGTGAGCTTTTTCTGCTATATTTAGCTTGGGAAATTCCACTTCTTGTCGGGGTGTTTTCTTGCAGACAGAATGCAGCCCCTAGTCTGGCTCTTTAGGAGTCTGTCTTATGTTTATAAGTACCCCAAGAAGGAATATATAAAAAGAATCGAACTAACCTGTAGAGGTTTCAGATTCTTTGAATATATTCCTCCTGGGGTATCGCCTACCACCTCCCCACATTCTGTCTGACGCCGCTCAGCATGGAAAGTGAGGTACAAGGTTACGGGTCTAGAGTTACCTGCTCTTGGCTGTAGGGGCCTGGAGGGCCCTGTAAGGGTGGTCTCACAAGACAAAACGTAGTTTTGTTTTGTAAATATTTTTATTCAAATATTGTTACAACTGTCGAGGGAATTTTAAATGGACATTTAAATGCTTATAAGTACCCCAAGGAGGAATATATTCAAAGAATCTGAAACCTCTACAGGTTAGTTCGAATTTTGATAATAACCAACCACTGGATGTCGGCACATATTGTGTCTCCTTGGATGCTGTTATGTACATCAAATGGAAGTTAATGTAAACTGTGTGTATTTTGTAGAATATCTGCGATGGCTTGGTTGTGAATGATGAGTTGATGCTAACCCTCAGCAACTGTCTACATGGCCTTGTCAAACCGGTAAGTGGTTACATGGAGAAGAAACTTGTATAAGGATATGTAGGAGTTAAATGGGTTTGTACACCACAACAGCGGGTTCTGTGTGTACAGGAGAGAAACTGTATGAATGAATTGTCATCATACCCAATATTGTGGGATGTTACTCACAGTATCAACCGCTGGTTGTCTGTCTGTGGCTTTCTTACAGTCTGACATGATATAAGCTGTGTTGAGTTGTATTATCATCCAGATGTATGGGATGTATTGTGAGTGTGTGTTAAATTGATCTCCAATGCACATTTCACAGTTGTGATATTTTGCAATTGAATATTGTATGTTGATATCTGTTATCAACGCTGTGTGAAGTTGTTGATGTATTTTGATGTATATTATGTAGATGTTGTACCTCTATTGCCACCGCTAACGGCCTGAGTGTGTATAAAGTTTTGTTCAGTTCAGTTAGGGTTATGATGGGATATGCTCCACTATCTTTTACCCTTGTCGCATCCATGTAAAGATGTGTAAAATGTATACAATTTTCTATGTCTTATTTGGATCTAAACAACTTGACTGGTGTACATTATGATTTTTGCTCAGTTTCGAGTCCTAGGCATCAGTACTACATTAACCTCTAGTGCTTGCACAGTTTCAGATTCCAGGGAGCAGTGTTGTGTTAACTACTGAGGTGTTCAGAATCTAGATGATCTTTAACTAACCTCTAATGCTTGCACAGTTTCAGATTCCAGGGAGCAGTATAGTGTTAACTACTGAGGTGTTCAGAATCTAGATGATCTTTAACTAACCTCTAGTGCTTGCACAGTTTCAGATTCCAGGGAGCAGTATAGTGTTAACTACTGAGGTGTTCAGAATCTAGATGATCTTTAACTAACCTCTAGTGCTTGCACAGTTTCAGATTCCAGGGAGCAGTATAGTGTTAACTACTGAGGTGTTCAGAATCTAGATGATCTTTAACTAACCTCTAGTGCTTGCACAGTTTCAGATTCCAGGGAGCAGTATAGTGTTAACTACTGAGGTGTTCAGAATCTAGATGATCTTTAACTAACCTCTTGTGCTTGCACAGTTTCAGATTCCAGGGAGCAGTATAGTGTTAACTACTGAGGTGTTCAGAATCTAGATGATCTTTAACTAACCTCTAGTGCTTGCACAGTTTCAGATTCCAGGGAGCAGTGTTGTGTTAACTACTGAGGTGTTCAGAATCTAGATGATCTTTAACTAACCTCTAGGGCTTTGCACAGTTTCAGATTCCAGGGAGCTGTATTGTGTTAACTACTGAGGTGTTCAGAATCTACATGATCTTTAACTAACCTCTTGTGCTTGCACAGTTTCAGATTCCAGGGAGCAGTATTGTGTTAACTACTGAGGTGTTCAGAATCTAGATGATCTTTAACTAACCTCTTTTGCTTGCACAGTTTCAGATTCCAGGGAGCAGTATTGTGTTCACACCCGAGCTGTTTGTGACTGTTGTGGTCCACACTCCTCTTGTATTGTCTAAAACCAACCAGGTAGGTGTCTGTATTACATGGTTTTGGTAAAACAAATTTCTCTCTAACCTGTGAAGATTCTAGGTTAGAATTGGTCTTCAGCAACCAATGCTTGTTGTAAAAGGCAACTAACGGGATCAGGTGGTCAGACTCGCTGACTTGGTTGACACATGTCATTGTATCCCAATTGGGTAGATCGATGCTCATGCTGTTGATCACTGGATTGTCTGGTCCAGACTTGATTATTTACAGACCACCACCATATAGTTGGAATATTGCTGAGTGCGGCGTGAAACAATCAAACCAAACCAAACAAACAAATTTCTCTTAATATGTGTTGAAGAAAAATCTGCATCTGACTTTCTAAATGGAAAATCTGTCCTTCAGACTCTGGTGCAAGGCATGCGAGTGAATGTGAAGAATGTGGAGGACTTCCTGGCTGTAGTACAGAGGGAGCTGGACAGCTTCGAGTATGCCCTGTGTCAGACCTTCTATAGGTCCTTGGACATCAGTCAGAACAAGGTTAGTGTCCACATCACTGTTACATCACTGAGCCAAGACCAAGGTCACTCTCTGGTGAGTGTATCCTGGTCAAGGTCACTGTTAGGTGAGTGTATCCTGGTCAAGGTCACTGTTAGGTCAGTGTGCCAATACCAAGGTCACTCTCTGGTGAGTGGTCAAGGTCACTGTTAGGTCAGTGTGCCCAGACCAAGGTCAGTGTCTGGTGAGTGTATCCTGATCAAGGTCACTGTTAGGTCAGTGTGCCCAGACCAAGGTCAGTGTCTGGTGAGTGTTTCCTGATCAAGGTCACTGTTAGGTCAGTGTGCCCAGACCAAGGTCACTCTCTGGTGAGTGTATCCTGATCAAGGTCACTGTTAGGTCAGTGTGCCCAGACCAAGGTCAGTCTCGTGGTGAGTGTATCCTGATCAAGGTCGCTGTCAGCCTAATGAGTCCAGATCATGGTCACTGTTCAGACGAAGGTCAGCTTAGTGTGTCTATAGTATTGTCACTTTTAGGTCAGTATGTCCAGAACATCGTCACTTTCAAATCCCTCATCAATACAAGCATTCTTTCATCATCTGAAGGAATATAGTTTATAACTAAAAATATTTGTTAGATCTTAGAGCAGTACCCAGAAGCCCTGGAAGATGACAGTGAGAAGCTTGACCTGAGGAAGTCAGACCTGATCAGCAGCCCGGAGGCCGGCTTCATCAACATGATGAGATATGGAATCCTGGCACTACAGCTGCTGCCAGATAACTCTAGAGCTGGTATGTAACCCTAACTCATTTACCTATGAAGTCTCTTGTTCCCATGGTGATCAAGAGCAGAACAGACCTGGAAATGAAAATGAAACAGTTGGAAGAAATATTTTAGATGATACACAAGATGTCACCTTTGCATCTTTGACATCAAATACATTGACTGCTATTAATATACATTACATGTATAAAAAACACCATTAGGATGGAGATGGAATGTTTCTGTCTGTGTGATCAACTCCATTCTCGGCATCCCATGTCATGGATAAAAGTACAGGATCGACTGATTCAAAACCAGACTATGACACTGAATTCATACAGATAATCAAGTCTACAGGTGAACCAGTCAGATGATTAGAAATTGTGTGCTTACAGCTAATTTCCATGCTTGACAGACCCATTTTGCTGCATTGCCAATGAAAAGCAAAAGTTTAGTCCCAATTTACTTTCAACTTGATATGTTTGCTTGTGTCTGGTGACTTACAAATAAGCATCAATGCAGTGTTGACCTTTAACCTTGTGAGAAATTTGGTAGTGGATCCTGTTGTAATGGGGATGGCATCATTATGACTGTGGAAACCCCCCCATATTTGGAATGGAAAGATCCTAGGACGTTACAATCAGAACAACATACTGACACCCTCTGCTGTTATATGTGCAAGATGTGTTGGTTAGTGGTGGTCCGATTAATTGAAATAATCGAAGATTGGTCGCAGTGACTAGGCGACCAAGCAATCGATCATGTTTTCTCATAATCGAACACAAGAAATTCCCGAACACTTGTTTGCATTAACAATATTTTTCACAAGGTTGGTTTTGTCTGTTACATTTCATGACCACTACAAGCTCGTTCCAAGTCATGGTTGAATTTATCTTCAAGACTCCAAGAAATTAATGTTCCTAACCTAGTAGTCATTCTTTAAAGATGTGAAATTTGCCAATGCCTTTTGTGCAATTTCCAAAAACACCAAAGAACTACAGGGTTTTTTTCTTTATTTTTTGTCCATGAACAAAAATAATCAGGAAAATTTCATAATTGATGCTTACCAATTATTTTCGATGATTGATCGGTTGTAATGAACCAATCATCAATTATGAGATTTTGATCAAATCCCAGCACTAGTGTTGGTCAACATTTTGTCTTTCAGGACAAATGTGCCCATGTTCACCATGAAAACAATCATCACTGATGACCAGTAGCAAAACATCCACAGAATGTTGTGGTTGGCAATGAGCCAAGTTCTTTCCCCGATTGAGTAGTCCTGGGACATGATAGGGAGAGGTGTTTGTCAGAGTCATCCGCCACTGACCAATTTTGCAGAGCTTACACTTTCAGCCCTCAAGAATGTTAGCAGTCATATCATCTACTGTCATACCTCACTACTGTTTATTAGATCCAATTCATTCATTATTACACAATGTTTGATCTTGCAATCATTTATATCATCCACAGTGGGTGTTATTTTTGAAAATTATTTAAATTATCAGGGCTCTAATTATGAGCTGTTTGGACATATGTGTGATTAGAAAATATGTATGTTCCTTGATGATAATATTTATGCATCTCAAATACAGGTATATAGGCCAGCGGATAAGTGATCAAATTGTGCACTTTGTGTTACAAGCATGAAATTTGGCATGATTGTAGCTTATACCCTTCTTATTAAATAATGAATGTAATTGTATCTAGCTAGCTCCACACATTTGCACAGTGGAGGGCACTTAAGAGCTGCTTTTACTCACATGGACCGGTTTGAACATTTGTTACACATGCATTTCGGCAATTCCAGGCAGCTCTTTGATCATGTTGATGTCTTCAGGAGAGTTGTCCATAAAGGTCCAAACTCTCCCCCAGAGAGTTATTGCCCCCGAACATAACTCCCCTAATATACAGCTTTCTTTATATGTTGGATCAAAGTTGATTCTGTTTGGGGTAAATTGTCCAATGTTATCCCCTTCGTTGCAAACAAAATTCTTTCTTGCTTCATTCACTTTCATGAGGATGCTTGCTTTATCATACAGCAGCACAACAAATCTTTCAAGCTGATGAATCTGTGCATTAGTGATTTCGAGTGGTATACAAGCAAGGGAAACAAAGGTGCCTGTAATTTCAGAAAAAGTATTCTATACATTCCACAAGGTCTTCTTTCCAATTCCACCAAAGGATGACACACTGTCACAGCCTGTGAAGCTGAGTCATCAAAGTCACATCAAGGAATTTTGTTAACATAGCAAATGATTTCTGGTAGCTTGGCAACAATGCATAAGCAGAAATAGGTTTTCATAAGTTCAAAGATTACGTAAGTTCAACAGCTTATAATCTCTCAACTCATTCTGAGAATATTAGAATGAAGCTTCTGCCTGGAATGATGAAACTGCTGTGCTGTGTAACAAGTTAAGAAAGGATCTTGAGCAATGGACATGCTTGACACCTGACAACAATGTTTACCACTGATAACATTTCCTTCATAATGGTATGGGGGCGGTGGGGTAGCCTAGTGGTTAAAGCGTTGGCTCGTCACGCCGAAGACCCGGGTTCGATTCCCCACATGGGCACAATGTGTGAAGCCCATTTCTGGTGTCCCCCGCCGTGATATTGCTGGAATATTGCTAAAAGCGGCATAAAACTTAACTCAGTCAGTCAGTCAGTCATAATGGTATGTGGATCCCTTCTGAGACTTTGCAATAATAGTATATTCACAGAGTTGTTATCCATAAATTCACCTGACAACTTCTGGGGAATGTCTGGAATATGAGTGGACAGTGTGGATAACAGCCACACTCCTACATGTACAAAACTCCTAAGCCTAAAAATCTGCCGACAGTCATTTGAAATGTTCAGCCAAAGTACTCATTTTATAAATTGCTACTGCTTTTTATCATTCATGATATAAGATTGCCATTTTGTAGATTTCTGGACATAGGTCATGTACAGAGCCATTACAAACTTATTACTCAAGAGATTTCAAAGTTTAAACTTGTGATTTCAACTGTACACAAGTCTATGGGACCATGTAATATCCCCAGTGTTGGTAAGTTAATATCTGTGTGTCCCTCGATGCAAAGACCAGATACCAGAAACCACCTGGGACACACACTCAAATTTTAAAAGTGCTGCTGGATTAAGTACAGCACAATTGTCTCTATAGTTAACTGTGAGTGGGAGCCATAGAAACTGTATACTGGAAAGTTCCTGATACCTTGCTAATCTTTTTTCTTCCAATGAGAAGATGCACAGCTGCTTAGTGCCCTTCTGCTAGCAGATGCCATCTTGGCTGCCCCTACATCAGCTCCTCTTGTGGAGGGTGTGTGTTGAAAATCCAAGGGGAATAACTCTGATTGGCAAATTTCAGTACTGTAATATGATGGGCTTGGAATCACAAGTTCAACCCATTCTGTCTGTGTTATTTTTGTCTTTTGTTTGTCAGATATTATTTCTCATGTTAACAATTCTTTAAATTCTCAACATACGTTATACATTTCTTTTCATATTGATAAGTCTCAGAATTTGGGAAATTGTAGAGAACACTTTGTAATAGAGGGTGTCAGTAATTGTAACACTACCTGGTGGTAACACTACCAGATGGTAACACTGACTGAAGTTAACACTGCCTGATGGTAACACTACCTGATGGAAACACTACCTGATGGTAACACTACCAGATGGTAACACTGACTGAAGGTAACACTGCCTGATGGTAACACTGCCTGATGGAAACACTACCTGATGGTAACACTACCTGATGATAACACTACTGATGATAACACTACCTGAAGGTAAACACTACCAAAGGTAACACTACCTGATGGCAACACTACCCGATGGTTTTGCTGCCTGATGGTAACACTACCTGATGGTAACACTCTATGATGGAAACATTGCCTGATGGTAACACTGCCTGATGGTAACACTGCCTGATGGAAACACTGCCTGATGGTAACACCACCAGATGGTAACACTACCCTGATAGTAACACCACCTGATGGTAACACTACCTGATGCAAACACTGCCTGATGGTAACACTACCTGATGGTAACACACTGCCTGATGGTAACACCAACAGATGGTAACACTACCTGAAGGTAACACTACTCAATGGTAACACCACCTGATGGTAACACTACCTGATGCAAACACTGCCTGATGGTAACACTACCTGATGGAAACACTGCCTGATGGTAACACTAACAGATGGTAACACTACCTGAAGGTAACACTACTCAATGGTAACACCACCTGATGGTAACACTACCTGATGCAAACACTACCTGATGGTAACACTACCTGATGGTAACACTGCCTGATGGTAACACTACCTGATGGTAACACTACCTGATGGTAACACTACCAATGGTAACACCACCTGATGGTAACACTACCTGATGGTAACACTACCTGATGGTAACACTACCTGATGGTAACACTGCCTGATGGTAACACTACCTGATGGTAACACCACCAGATGGTAACACTACCTGAAGGTAACACTACTCAATGGTAACACCACCTGATGGTAACACTACCTGATGCAAACACTACCTGAAGGTAACACTACCTGAAGGTAACACTGCCTGATGGTAACACTGCCTGATGGTAACACTGCCCGATGGTAACACTACCTAATGGTAACACTACCTGATGCAAACACTGCCTGATGGTAACACTACCTGATGGAAACACTACCTGATGGTAACACTGCCTGATGGAAACACTGCCTGATGGTAACACTACCTGATGGTAACACTACCTGAAGGTAACACTACCCAATGGTAACACTACCTGATGGAAACACTACCTGATGGTAACACTGCCTGATGGTAACACTACCTGATGGAAACACTACCTGATGGTAACACTATCTGATGGTAACACTACCTGATGGAAACACTACCCAATGGTAACACTACCTGATGTAACACTACCTGATGGTAACACTGCTTGATGGTAACAGTCCCTAAACGTAACACTGCCTGATGGTAACACTCCCTAAAGGTAACACTACCTGATGGTAACACTACCTGATGGTAACACTGCCTGATGGTGACACTACCTGATGGTAACACTGCCTGATGGTAACACTGCATTCTTTTCCAGGCATCATCATCCTGACTGATGGGATGGTGGGCCTGCCGGACGCCAACATCCTGGAGTCTCTCCTCACACAGTTGAGGAACAGCACCATGGCGTGTTCCTTCATAAAAGTTGGCAGCTGTTCCCTGCACCAGCAGCTTGGCCATGTGCCACACACAGAACTCATGCAGTTCATCGCCACGGCAACATTTGGCGCCTACTTCGCATCTTTTCCTGATCTGGTAAGTATGTGAAATATATTCATTAAACACCTTTTTGTTAACTATAGACTTTTGACATTATTTTCATTGGCCATTGTCAATGACCTCTTTGGCCCAATAAAATCGACAAACTTTGAGGTAATAAACATAAGTTCTGCTCGGTTATAATCTGCCCTTTTCCTCTTCCTTATCCACTGCATATTATTGATAACAATTTACAGCGATTATACTGTTTTTCTATTGGATCTAGCTGACTTATTCTGGTCAAATTGTGGTTCAAAGTTTGGTTATATGTTCCAAATGTTGGCAAGATGTCATGTATCGTTCTTGGAGTTTCAGTCCATTTTGGTTTGATGACAGTTTCAGCAAAACCTGTCCCTTTATATGTCATTTCAGCAACAGTGCAACAGCCTTGATGCCAATGTGTACCACCGAGCTCTCTACTTCTGGAACTTTCAGAAAGGACTTGAAGGGTTTAAATATGAACTGACCCACCAAACCATCCCTGATTCCTTTGCAAGTATTCAGAAGTAAGAAAACTTGAAACTTGTAGACCTGATTGTGTTAGAATTTTGTTTCTTCATATTGAATTTCCACTTCATCAAGCTATTTGGTAGTGCGATTCCCCACATAGGTACAATGTGTGAAGCCCATTTCTGGTGTCCCCTGCCATGATATTACTGGAATATTGCTAAAAGCGGCGTAAAACTCACTGTTTGACAGTGGACCTTAAAATATAGCATTTTGTCCAGACAGTCCAGTGATGAATATTGTGGGCATCTATCCATTATAGTGGTGTGACGATTCATCGATACACATCGATACATCGATCCATGGGCCGCCGATACAGTGAATTGATACAAAGTTTTACATTGTCGTATATCCCGATATGATGCTTCAAATGGGCAACGATACATCAATGTTTAATTTGAATATTGACAAATCGCGATATCTGTCAAGAAAAAAGACTTACTTTTGTTTGATGATTAAAATATTTGCTTACTTATTTTCCCTTCATAAGTAAACGTTTTCTTGGAAATTCTTGTGTCAAGAACTGTGTCCGACATAGCTCACATGTTATTATCTTTCACAAAGTCTGTGTATAAACTTAATTATCATGATATTCAGGTGTTCTATAGTTGGTGTTAGAATTAAATATTATTTCGGGATTCGTATCGTATCGCAGCTTCAGTGGACGATACTTTGGCAATATATCGTCGTGACTAAAATTTTAGCATCATGATGTATCGTATCGCAGATTGTATGCCAATACCAGCCCTATTCCATCACCATTTTAGTCTCCATAGTCAAATTGATTTGTTGCAAATATCAGTGTCCTGAATATATTGCCAGTTAGTTACCAGTAGAAAGTATTTGTCTCTCCCAGTGAAAGTGTGAAATTATTTCATACCAGCAAGACACTTGTTCTTCACCTTATGTGGGGCTGTGGGGTAGCCTAGTGGTTAAAGCGTTCGCTCGTCACCCTGAAGACCCGGGTTCGATTCCCAACATGGGTACAATGTGTGAAGCCCATTTCTGGTGTCCCCCACCGTGAAATTGCTGGAATATTGCTAAAAGCGGCGTAAACCACACTCACTCACTCACTCGCTCTTCACCTTACGTGTGATCCAGTGTTGATGGTTGATGTTGCAGACAATTGTACGCTCATCCACTTGAGGGTCGAAGTGCAATGGCAGACATATTGCGGAAGAAACATTTAGAGAAGAATGTCATGGCCAATATAGCCAGTGTGTTGTCTGTTCGACTCCGAGAGGGCTACACTATCAAGGATGTTGCTATCACGAAAGGTATGACTAAACTTCATGTTATCTGTTAAGCACATTTGTTCTTCAGCAGGTATTTCAGTTGATCTTAAACTTTTGTTAGAAGGAAGTGCAAACCTATCATCATGTGAAAATACATTTGTATTTAAGTTAGTGCAATCGTTCATTAGTGAGACAAAACGATTAGTATTGCATAGTGATATTATTCTGTATAAGCTCTATCTCTTTTTTACTTATACTACTTTCTTGTCCACTATCTGTCATCTTTAGTTGCGGAAATCTAAATTACCTATGTACATACCAAGGAGTCGCTTGTAAGTTGGAGAACTTGTTTCTAATCCTTTTCTCTGTGAATAAAATATGTTTAAAACAATGTATGACTGCCCCAAGGCACTGGGTGTCTTGTGTTACAGCACTTTAGTTCAAGGGTATGGGGTGGCCCCAGAGACACTGGGTGTCTTTACAGTTCTTTACAATTCAGGGTGGCCTCAATGGGACTGGGTGCACCTTGAGGTAAAGAGCAGCAGTAGCGACACCTGGTGTCAGTTATGTCACAGTGTGTTACAGTTTAAGGGTATTGGGTGGCTCCAGATACACAGTGTGTAAGTTGTGTTAAAGAATAGAGGTGAAGGGTGATACCAGAGTATTGTTAGAAGGTATTATAAGGATTTTTATCACTTGCAGTGTTGTATTTCAATGAAGTGCCTAAAATGGTTTCTGGGTCCTGAGGTACTGTAGCAGTTGTGCCCCTTAGGTGTTCAAGGATCATCAGATCATGAGTTTGAATCCCATGTTTGCCCTGATTTTGATCCTTGGTCTCCGAGTTCTGCCTGGGTTTTACATACGTGGAAAACATCCAAGACTTGGATCCTGCCTCAGTTAAACCCACACACTCTGACAACTGACGTGTGTACCACATGCACAATCCATGATATTGTTCTTTACTGTACCTGGTGGAACTCAGATAGAATCCATGATATTGTTTTTTACTGTACCTGGTGGAGCTCAGAATCCATGATATTGTTCTTTTCTGTACCAGGTGAATCTCAGAATACATGATATTATTCTTTACTGTGCCAGGTGGAACTCAGATAGATGTGAAGATGGTTCTACCTTGGCGTGACTATGTCCGGATCGAGTACTCTGCTGTTTCATCATGGCCTTTAGACCCAAAAAGTAAGCACTCACAGATGGGATTTGGGAGGTAAACATGATGGTTTCAGATTTGCAGGTGGTCCTGAGAGCATAATGCTGAATGTTTCATTGAAACCAACCATGGTATAGCTACCCCACCAACACGCCATCTGGCTCCACCACAGGTCTACTATCTGGCTCCTCCACAGGCTAACACTCCACACCATGGTCACCCCAGCTCATCCACCATAACCACTTATCTTTCCAAGCTCACCCACCAGCTATCAACCCCACATTCCACCTCCTACCACCCACCACAACTTGACTTTCCAACCACCATAACAACCTAGCACTACACCACCAACCCGTCTCCTATCAGTTCCCACACAAACCACCAAGGTCACCCACCAGCTATCATCCCCACACCCCACCCCACCACTTACTACCAAGCTTACTCACCCGTGAAGGTCCGGGTTAGAATGAACCTTCAGTAACCCATGCTTGTCGTAAGAGGCGACTAACGGGATCGGGTGGTCAGGCTCGGTGGCTTAGTTGACACATGTCATCTGTTCCCAACTGCGCAGATTGATGATCACTGGATTGTCTGGTCCAGACTCAATTATTTACAGACGGCCGCCATATAGCCGGAATATTGCTGAGTGCGGCATAAAACCTCACTCACTCACTCACTCACTCACTCACTCACTCACTCCTCACTCACTCACTCACTCACTCACTCACTCCTCCTCCTCCTCCTCCTCACTCACTCACTCACTCCACTCACTCACTCCTCCTCCTCACTCACTCACTCACTCACTCACTCCTCACTCACTCACTCACTCCTCACTCCTCCTCACTCACTCACTCCTCACTCACTCCTCACTCCTCCTCACTCCTCCTCACTCCTCACTCACTCACTCACTCACTCCTCCCACTCACTCACTCACTCACTCACTCACTCCTCCTCACTCCTCCTCACTCACTCACTCCTCACTCCTCACTCCTCTCACTCACTCCCCTCCTCACTCACCAAGCTTACTGCCCAGCCACCAACTATCTGCTTCTCTTTTGTTGTTTGTGGCTAAGTGTATGTGGTCACTCACACCACTGTGACCAAAATGTCCAAGAGATGAGCAATGTTATGTCTACGCTCACTTTAATGTTGAACTTTTAAAGGATTGTTTTCCATCTTAATTACAAATTGAGACAATTAGTGTCTTAAGATGATACAAGTCTCCTTGAAGCTGACATATGGTATTTGTGTTGGTGCTCTCCAGGCAGCAGACGTATGTTGAGATTTGCCTGGAGGGGGAGTATGAGTTCCTCCATGAGATTACCTGTGCCAGACAGAGTGCCAAGAACGCCTACAGAACATTCAACATCAGGAAGTTTTGGCACATACTGCAAAGGTAGGTTGAGAATCAGGTCCTGAATCAGATCCAGGTGCCTTTCACCTTGCCATTGATCACAGGGAGTCATCATGACTCACTTTGTTCTGTTAGAGATCTGAACCACATTTAGGAGGGCTGTAACGATGCATCAAACTATCGATGCATTGCAATTGTTGAGTCTCAGATAGCAATTAATATATTATAGAAACACAAAACTATTGATAGTATCGATAATTTAGTAATTCAGTTAAGTTGATAAATGCGCAGCGCAAAATAAAGGGTGTTTGGGTGCAGATTCGCAGCTTCATTGAGTTTATGTTTACTCAAGTAAACCGTTTACTTGATCTGGGTTTCAAGTCTCTTGTCAGCTATTAAAAGAGGCTGAAACTACTTCAACTTGTTTTATTTCATATAAACTATACATTTATTGAGGAAATGACTTCAAATGAGTCAAATCGCAATAGTTGTTTCCTCCTCGATAGTCACCCCTAACATTTAGTGTCATATGGGAGGTCATTTTGTTATGTGAGATAACAAAAACATATCGTTCTTGAGATTTTTTCAAGGAAAAATATCAAATTGAAAAATTGCATCTCTTTAACAATACCTTAGATTTTGTTGTAGGATCTATTGGTACTTATGAAAACGTTTGCATCAAATTATGTTACCTCCTCAAAATTACTAATGGGATTATTTTGGCAGATATCAAGTAAACAATTTTTGTGCATCTTCTGAAACCTTGCCTGTAGTGTTAACTACATGTTAAACGTTAATAAGAAATTAAGAATGCAAAGAGCCCAGGACACAGGTTTTGTTGATTAGAGACTTTGATGTTGTGCCTGTGAATGAAGAAGATCTATAATGTATTATTCATTGCCATATTTGCATCCCGTACTAAGAACATGAAATATTTCAGACTGCGAGAGACAGATCAACTGCTGTCCCATCTCCAGTCCTTCTCAACAACCTCGGTATACTACACTGTACCGGAGAGCATCAGAAATGGGGTGCCACTGTTCTACCAGGCAGCTGACCAGGCCTCCACATCACCCCTGCTCAACACTCAGCTACAGGCAAAGTGCCTTGGTCTTCATGTGCCCCTACTCAACACTCAGCTCCAGGCAGGCCTTGGTCTTCACATCCCCTGAATGCTCAGCTACAGACAAGTGGAATAGCCTTGGTCTTCCACATCCCCTGCTGAATGCTCAGCCAGTCGACCTTGGTCTTCACATCCCCCTGCTGAAGTCAGCTACAGGTCGACCTTGGTCTTCACATCCCCCTGCTGAATGCTCAGCTACAGGCAAAGTAAGCCGACCTTGGTCTTCACATCCCCCTGCTGAATGCTCAGCTACAGGCAAAGTAAGTTGACCTTAGTCTTCACATCCCCCTGCTGAATGCACAGCTACAGGCAAAGAAGTCGACCTACAGGTGTCTGAGAATGTGTATCAGGAGTAGAGTATTTGTCACGGTGTTACACACTGCAATGGATGCCTCCATTTGAGTGACCAGCAGATACAGAAAACGATATTATTTAGCACAGTTTGATAAAGGTGTGTTGTTATTGAATAGGTGAATACTTCAGGGTCGAGATGTCAATATCTATGTGTGTGTTTCAGGGATGCCACACTCACTCAGTTCGCCTCATTTTGGAAGCCTGTGATTCTCCTGGACACCAACATCTGGTAACAAGATTTCACATACACACCCATGATCCTCTGTCTGCATCCACGTTTCCTTCAACACACATTCACATCATCTCCTTAAATCCCTCTCCTCTTTTGAGACCGCCTCCGTGGTGTAGTGGTTAGAGCGTCCGCCCGGAGAGCGTAAGGCCTCAGGTTCGATCCCCAGCCATGTCATACCAAAAAAACATTAAAATATGGTACTTTTTGTTCCCTGCCTGGCGCTTGGCATTAATGGGTAAAACAAGGACTGGTCGGCTCAGAGTCAATATAATGTGTCTGAGTGAGGTATTCATGCTTCACTGCGGCATGGTATCTCAGTGGGCTAGCACTATAAAAACAGTTTAAGTCTGGGCTAGTACAAGCAGCCACACATACACATGCATGCACGTCATCATAAGAGAGAAGTATTCTTCAGTATGACGTTAAACCCCTTTGCACCTCACCTTACCTCTGCTCTATTGCTCACAGTCTCAACTCTTGTACACACCTACTATCACTTGTCTCTTCATTTCATGGATATACTCTGAAATTTGCTCTCTTAAAAAGTGTAATTCTGAAAGGAGAGAAGGCCTATAGCTTTTTATATTTTTTATAAATATATTGCAAGTGATTCTTTGCCATTTAATTTGCCAACCAATAAACATTTTGCACATTTATCTTTCCCTCAACCAAAATGATATCTAAGCCACACCTACTAACATGCTAATCTCTCCTGATTGGCTGATAATAAGATGGGTGGAGCTGGTGTTGCATCAGTACGCTGAGTGATGGCAATGGCTACATTGTTGTCTACAAGTGTATGTTGTGTTCATGATTCTGTTAAGTTATTAGGTAGACCTAATGTTCCCCACTCAAAACATAAATTCTAATATTTTTATTGGCCAAAAATGTAAATGTGCAAGAAAATGTTTTTAAATTGTTTTTTGCCCCATAAACACTTCATAAATTACCAAACATAAAATACTTTTAGTATTTAAAAGGAATATTACTTTGACTGGTGATTTTTATTTTTTATTTTTTTCTCTCCTGCCTTTAGGTTTTCTGAGGACAAAAAAACCGTAAAACAAGAAATATAATTGGTCTGGCCTTATATTAATTACTTAAACATGTTGTTGTGTTTATGGAGTTCTTAACATATAAACTGCAACAAGGATTTTCACAGTTTGACATTTAATAAGTTCATATGTACGGGTATTCTGACAACCTGGCTGTCAATCTTTGCCAATCTACCAGCCACTTGTTTGTGAATGAAGATTCCATTGCTGACCAGCCACCCTGATATAACTGGGGTCTAGCTAACTGTGATATACAGCAACATTGGCTCATTCTCTAGTATTCATATGAATTAATGGCTGAAGGTATGTGTATATCATCACGATATGCACTTAAGAACATACTTTTTGATCTCAATTATCACATGACCAAATTATAAAACATGTCACCAACATACTAACAACAACTTCATCCTAAACGCAAGCCATCAGAGAAGTATTTACAATGTCCGTCTGAGGCAACATGCCATGTCACAGTGAGAGTAAACACTGCAGTCCTGAAAATGTGACGTTCGAAAACCTTTGATTCGACAATAGCTATATTTATTGTCTTGTTGACCTGTCATGACAATTTCAGGCAGAAATGGATGCACACCCACAGAATTGGTTTAGTGTTGGAGCACGACATGCCACTGCCTAAATACCTGCATGTCCCCAACGCGAGTGGTCGCTTCAACGTGATCCAGTGTCGACAGGCCCTTACGTCCCTCAACATCCACCTGCGTGAGTGGGCCACCTTCGTCCTGATGGAGAACCACTCCTACATCAAACTGCTGTTTAGGTCAGTGTGCTCTGCTCATCCAGAGACATCCTGTATGTCTACGTGTCTCTAGCGATGCACTGAATATCAATATTTGGAGATGTCCTTTTTATCTATAGATGCCCTGAATATCTCTATGAATAGAGATGCCCTGTGTATCTATACATCTACAGATGTTCATTACCCCAGAGATGCCCTTAGCATCTAGACATGCCCTTATGCAGTGTATGTCGAGAGATGCCCTGTTTATCTATGAGATGCCCTGTATATCGATGAGATGTCCTATATATCTATGATGTGCCCTGTATATCTATGCGGTGCCCTGTATATCTATGAGATGCCCTTTATATCTATAAGATGCCCTGTATATCTATGCAATGCCCTGTATATCTATAAGATGCCCTGTATATCTATGAGATGCCATGTATATCTATAAGATGCCCTGTGTATCTATGCAGTGTCATGTATATCTATAAGATGCCCTGTATATCTATAAAATGCCCTGTATATCTATGCAATACCCTGTGTATCTATTAGGGCTGCAACGAATACACTATGTGTCGAATATGATACGTATCGTGAATTTTGGGTAATGAATACAAATAATTATTCACGAATACAATATTGTAGTTAAGTGATTGATGCACTTTATGGAACGGCCATGTTGACAGTGTTATTTGTCACAGCAATAACCAGTGATCTTATGACACTCAAATTTGGTATGTAATAGTTATAATCGACAGTACTATGTGCAGTCTTGGCAAACTAACATGACTTGCACTACTGCAATGCTAGTACATGTTCCATTCTTGCATATCTCACTTTGGAAAGGACATAAGGGTTCATGTAAAACATGCTCCCTTAAAAAAATCGTAAATATTCGTTAACATTCGGTTCTGGTGACCACGAATAATGAATTGAATTCATGAAGGGCTACGGTTCGATTCAGCGAATATGCGAGTGAATCGTTACAGCCTTAGTATCTATGCGATGCACTTTATATAATATAGGTGTCCTGTGTATCTTGAGATGCCCTGTAAATTTAAGGTGGCCCATATATATGGATGTGGGCTGTTCATATAGATGCCCTATATTTTTGTATCTGCCCTATATATCCCTGTAGATTATGCACGTATCATCTTCTGGGTTTTTGAATCATGAAGAAACAATGAGAACACATACCATATGTCCATACATCACAGTGTGTAACTCATTCCAGCTGTCGTGATATTTTCACCAGCAGTCCAGATTCAAAGGCTAATGTTTCTTAGGGTGAACTGTTCTTTTTTTGTCAAGAAAAATGGCTTTCCTTAATCCTAAAATCTTGTGTGATCTATTTGTTATCTCCCGCAACGTGTTTTGCGAGGGTATTAAAATGCGCTATGTCTGAGCATGCATCCGTCTGTGCACATTCGTCTTTTCCGGAGCACAACTTCAAAACCAACTTCTTCACCAAAGTTGGCACATAGATAGATCCGGTGATGTACTGGTGCCTTTTGTTAGTTTTGGAATTCTGAAAAAAAATTTTTTTGCATTTCCATGGCAACAAGTTTGACTTTGACAGAAATTGGGGGTTGTGCTTTTTTCCGGAGTAGAACTTCAAAACTGTTCATTATTTATTCACCAAACTTGGCCCATATATAGGTCTTCCTGGTGCCTTTTGGTAGTTTTTGAATTCTGAATAGTGCTCCTTTCTGGAGCAGAACTTATGAACCTCTCCTTTCACTTTGCCATATACACACCAAAACATTTGACATGATCATAACTAATAGGCATATTCATGAAGAGTGTTTTGCCATTGAGGGGGATATTGATGACTTTGTCTTCTTTAACAATTTGTTTTGATTATTTTAAAAGGGATCAGGACAAGCCACCCTCCTTCTTCTGTGTCCTGCGTGTGACTCACAAAGCTCCGCTGATGGTCCTCAGACTTGCTTTCCTAGGCGGAACACCGAGCCAGGTACGCAATGATGTCGTCTCCAGCCTCCTCAAGTCGATCAAGGATCTCCGCTTCCCTCAGCGAGGAACACAGGATGTTGACAAGAGGAAGAAGCTTCCCCGATTGAAACCAGATGCTGCCAAAGTCCATGTGAAGAAGCCTCCATTGTTACGAGACTGGTCGGATATACACTGTGGAACCATCCTCACAAAGCCTGCCGAGAAAATACTCATCAGGTAGCTTGTTTAATGTGCTTCTCTCTACTGCATGTGTCCTTGAATATTGCTGTTGTAAATAACTGTGATGAAAGACTGTTTAGACGAATTATTTCAGTATCATGACTTCTTTACTATATTCAGCTATTCTGATTTTTTAGCTTGTGTTGTCGCCTGTTGTCTGTCCATCTTTTTGTCTGTCATTAGCTTTTACATTTCGTACAGCTCCTTTGAAATGACAAAGACTTGAAACTAAACGCTACCTGATAGATCTTTGCTATGTCTCTAAACAATGCTCACAGATATGCAATATATCTTTAAACATGGCTGCCAGATATGCATTACATTTTAACATAGTATAACATGTATGTTTAGCACAAAAAAGGAGAAATTGTGGGATTTGTTGTTTGAAAGCAAGGATACTGTGATTCAGTTTAGATAAGTGACAGAGAGGACGATATAATGAGTCAATTTTAGACATGAAGAGAAATCAATGAGAGTTAATGATGGATGACAAAAGGCTGAGAAAGACCAACTGGGCATAATATAGGCGTCTGGAGCTCGAGGGAGACAAAATATAAGAGAAAGATAGAAATAGGGAGAAAAGAAGAAGACTGAGAACAAGCAGGAAAGAGAGCAGAAGAAAGCATGAGTGACTGAAGAAGCACATTGGAAGGGCGCTTTTTCTAAGGTCAATAGGAAATTCAATTGCCAATGCAGCTTGCTAAACTTAATGATAAAATTTCAAAAAGAAAGCCACAGACCCAGATAACCAATCACTGCAGATGAGATTTATTGACAGTAGTTTTGTCTGGTCACATTCTCAACCAGATACCTTTATTTCAGTAAAGGGGCCACAGGCCCATTATACATGTTGTACCATGCGCACAGTTTATAAAGCTATAAAGTATATATAAAGAGCCTATATAACAATTAACATGGATGCTACGGAGAAGGATACACATCAGGATATAGAGATATCACAATCCCCAAAACGTATTACATATCTCAAGAGCTACATATAAATATTTTCCCAGATCATTAATGACAATTATATTCCTTGACATGAACAGTTGAGACAGCTTCTCATGTGATGGGAGATTATAGTAATATTTGGGAATTGTATTTTCTCTAATACCATTGTAAAATGGACACTCAAGACAGAAATGATATTCATTTTCAACAGTTGGAATGATACAGAAAGGACACAAGCGATCACTTCACTCAAGACCAAGGCGTCTACCATATTCAATCATCGATATATGACTGAACCTTCGGAATTTACTTACAGCAATATAAAATACTTTAGTCTTGATATGGCTGATGTAAAACTCATAACTAGTTTTCGTGGTCAATACATCTTTGTTTGAATATAGACATGAAAACAGTGATATTTCCCACATTCTGATAAAACCAAACATTTCCAAATTATGGTTTAAAATATTTTTCACATTCAATGCCCAACATTGGCGTCCTTTCTCTGCAATGCATTCCTCAAGGTGACATTATCATCTTGGGAGATCAATCTAGTCCAATATTTAATAATTTTACAATACATATTTACCTTTAATGAGTGTCTACTAGAGCTGTGTATCATGGCCTAAGAGGCGAGACGATATATCATGATACCAGTTTAATGAGGCGAGACGATATATCATGAAAGTATTGGCAAGGAACCTGCGAGACGATTATCATTGCGATACAGTAATGGCGATATGATACGTATCCCGATACTTTAGAATTCGAAAAACACGACATGTATGATAGAAACAATGATTGAATCTTTATTTGTTATACAGCGGAACATGTGTTACATTCACACACACTTAAAAGACTGTTCATGCAATAAAGTTTCAGCATTTAATGCTTAGGAAAGTACAATCAAACATATTTAGTATACCTTGATCTAGGTTTCCCTTGGAAAGTTGTGTTTCTGCACCAATGCTTTCACAGACAATTCAATGTAATTTATACCAGAATCACTGAAAAAAGCTCTTAAGTATGCTTTCTAAATTTTATCTTCTCTTTCTTAACAAAGCTAAGAAATCGTTCATAGTTGTTAATAAATGGTGTTATTTGTCAAACAACTAAAACATGTTTCTTTTACAGTTCAAAGAGATGAAAAATGTTCACATTCTTTCACTGATACAACAACTCCTTTGTTCATGTAACAAAGATGGCAGACACAAATTCCTATAAGGTTCAGTTTGCTTTTAAAATTTAGAAGTATTTCAAAGAGACTCCCTTCCTAATCCTAATGCAATACTCCTTACAACTTTATGTAGTATTTAAGTAGTATCGGGATATATCATCTCTTGTGGCGATACATCGATGTATCTTGGACCCTTGCGATATAAATATTGTGATATATTGCCTACATGTGTTTTGTATCGATGCACTCATATCGTGTAGTTGACGATGCAAACATTGATACTATCGATGAATCGATACACCACTAGTGTCTACCAAGTTCAGCACGGACAAAGATATTTGGGGTATTTCTTGGAAGACAAAGAACTTGTTTACAAAATTTGTTGTGAATATTCATAACATAAAGCCCCATACTTCACTGCCGTTTAGCAGAATTGGTAGAATTTTCACATCAAATATTTGAAACAAGACATGTACAGGTAGGTTAGAAAAGTTAGGTATTGAGGATGTAAGTATAGATAGAACTTTCCATGCCTGTTCGGCCAAAACTTTTAGGGTGATATACCATGAGCCTGAGCTTGACAGATGAACCCCAAGATACTTGTATGATGGGACAATTTCTCAGGTATCATTATTAAAAAAGAACTTTTCACATTTCTTTAATCTGCCACCTTTTCTAAACACAATTATTTTACTCTTGGTTACATTCATTTTAAGTTTCTATTGGTCACAGTATGTAACCAACTTATCTAATCTCTTTTGTAAACCACAGACTGTAAAGAATTATCATGGAAATACAACTTGTTTTATTCTGTGGAGGCGACGTTCCGACATAGATTCTAATGTCGTTGTCAAGCAAGTGATACATGAGTACCAAATTGAGCAAATATATACATGAGTTGTTATAACAGTAGATAGGGAATGAGTTGTTTATACAATAAATTGGGTTGATGTTTATACAATAAATTAGGTTGATGTACAATGCTTGTTTAAAAGATTGAGTAAGTTGGTAGGAAGCCAGTAGGGTGACATACAAGGACTGAATTAGAGCTTATACAACTGATAGGAAGCCAGGTGAATGTTTATACAATGGTTGGGGTTGATGTACATAGTTGAATTGAAACAGATAATGTACACAATAAATATTATTGGTTACTTTATCAAGTGATGGTAGGCATTGGGAATGTACTATCCTTCATCTCTGTTGAGGGTGGGTTCAGTTGTATAAGCTCTAATTCAGTCTTAGAGTATATAAATTCATCATAATCTAGTGAATAGAAAATACTGGAGTATGGCTTAGAACAATATACAGTTGTCATTTTGTTTCACAATGTGAACAAGTGTAGGAGTTGTCTTTCCTTCCCTTCCCCCTGTCCTCCCTTAGCATTAGTACATCACCCCCTTAGCATTAGTGCATCTACAGCTGGGTCTGATAATTTTATTACCTCCCTTTGCTGGATCTGCCTTCTCACAGTAGCCAGTCAGATAAGCCGTTACAACTGATCTTGCTAATGTCAGCAAAGATGTCAGCCACAGCCCCCGAAGGTAGAACTCCTTTGACGTCTTTCTGGGTACCTCTGCAACAATTGTGTTGCCAAGTTTAATTGGTTAGAAAGTGAGTTATGATAGAAGCCTTGTGATTGGTATGCTCAACTTCCCGGCAGAGACGGCTGATTGGATAAAAAGCCAACAAAGGGAGGTAATACAATAATTGGGCCGAGCCGTAGATGCATCCAGGGTACTAGTGGAGATTTATCGGAAGTTATACCCTGGAGATTATCGAGGATGGATATAGGACAGTGAGTGAGAAACTAAATCATGTGATGTCATTGTCCCCAAGTATGCATTGTATCTTTAAAATGCATATTTCAAGTGATAGAAAGAAGGTCCGGGATAGACTGAGCCTTCAGTAACCCATGCTTGTCGTAAGAGGCGCGACTAACGGGATCAGGTGGTCAGACTCGCTGACTTGGTTGACACATGTCATCGCGCAGATCGATACTCCTGCTGTTGATCACTGGATTGTCTGGTCCAGACTCGATTATTTACAGAGCGCTGCCATACAGCTGGAATATTGCTGAGTGCAGCGTAAAACTAAACTCACACACTGATAGAAAGTAATGTAATAAACTACCTGCTGTAGTTTCCAGTCAAGTGTATTGTCTAATGTTCCCAGTAAGTTTATGTAGGTGTGTCCGGATGTGTGGGTGTTATTCAGAACAAAGATGGAACAAGATACTGTAGGATATTTTGGTTGGTTCCCATGTTATATTTGTACAGGGTTTCTAAAGCTATTTAATTAAAAGGAATTACATTTTAAACTTGATAATTTTCAGGATGACATTATATGATCAATATATTATTACAGTTGTGTTTCTGTGTCATAAATATGACTTTCTTAACAATAGGCATGATACAATTTGTAGTGCTGTTATATAGTAAAGAAGTTGTTAAGCCATACAATTATCTTCCTTGCTCATCTTAACAACTGAAATGCCATTTAATAAGTGTTGTTTTGGTTTTCTTAATAGGATTCATCTTCAGGAGGGATTTCATTTTGCGCTTACCAAAGGAGGGAAGCAGTTTTCTCACTTCCTCCGCTTCTTTACTTTTCAGATATGAACGTCAGCCAGTTGACATGACCATTCTAGAGGACCCAACAAAAGATGTCCCAAGCTTCTACTTATTGGCGCCAATGGCCAACTCCATGAAGTCTGCTGCCAGCATGTTCAACACTCTGTCTTGCTATCTCCACCACCAGCGCTGGATCTGGACCGTTCGCCAGAATGCTGTCACGCCCATCAGCCTCCCTGCAATTGGCAGAGTACTCATGACTCTAGCTAAGTTAGTAAATACAGTGACAAATACTCCAAGTTTGTTAGGTTTCTGTGTCGTCTGTGTCTTAAGGAAGTTTTAATACATTCTTGTTATACTTTCTTGAATATAGTATACATGCATTTTGTCATCATGATTACTTTTGTAATTTGTGCACAAACTCTGAATTTGCATGAAGTGTGTGTTTGTTTTAATGCTAATTATAGGGATATTTTGGGCACTTACATGACACATTCAAATGTTAATATGTCAGTGTAAAGAGAAGTATTTGTATCATGCCATGCAATGTAATAAGTGAGCAAGGGAGATAACTCTGTAAACATACAACTCCTTTAATACAATTGGTGTGATATTTCTGTGTAGATACTTACACCATTACCAGGCTCGTTACAATAGTGGTAGTCAGTATTAAAGTAAAGAAGTTGTATAACCACAAGATTATCTTCCTTGCTCATCTTAACAACTTAGATACCATTTAGTAAGTGTTGTTTCTGGTTTCTTAATAGGATTCGTCTTCAGGAGGGATTTCATTTTGCGCTTACCAAAGCAGGGATTGTCAACATGATTCTTGAAGTTGATATGAAGGTGAGAAGTGTGGCAGTGTGTGGTTTGTGGCTGTGTGTGGTCCTGTGCGTAGAGCTCAGGTCATGAATCAGTTGAAGTTAAGCAATGTCGAGCTTGGACGGGTGACCGTTGTTGGCAGCTTGACTCCTGAGAGTTCCCAGGACTTCAGTCCTGCCCAACAACGAAGCACATGTGATACATGTGGTCTCACCTCAGGCAAGTGAGTTTGTTCAAAATTGCCTCTGTTCACCCAGCAGAAAATGGGTACCCGGTGGGATAAAGTCATACTGCTATAACCTTCTAGTGGCTAACACTCAGCTTGGGTTATCCGGGGTAATAATAATCAGATTCTGATTACAGCGTCCAGTGAGCAACTAGTCAGATGGATACTAGTCGCTATATAAATGAATTATTATTATTATTATTATTATTAAGTAGTCACACTATTAAGAACCATGTCAGTATTGACAAGCTGTGTTGATGCAAGATGTAAATTGTAAATGATAATGTAATGAATAAATATGTTCATAAAAACATGTTATAAAAACTCATGCAAGATGTACAACCTGTTGAGAAGACATTTAATAGTAATGATGATAATAATCAGTTTGTTTTGAACTTTTCCCTGCTCAATATCATGCTTATAGCACAGCTAGGGATAAAAGGTTAGTCAAATGTTTGATGGAAGAGGTTTTGAGAGTAGGAAGGAAGGGTGGAATAGGTTGGAAAAGTTCAGTGTAAAGACAGTTCCATTCATGATGGGAGTGATGTGTTCATACTTAGGTGTAATAGAAAGAAGACTGACAAGCTGTATGTAGGATATTGAATTGTCATCAAAAGACTATAGACAAGGTATAATGAGGCTATGGACAGCTCAGTATAGGCTATTGACAGGTATAGGATGTTGACAAGCTAATGGTTAAGCTGTATGGAGGATGTTGACAAGCTAATGGTTAAGTCGTATGGAGGATGTTGACAAGCTAATGGTTGTCGTATGTAGGATGTTGACAAGCTAATGGTTAAGTCGTATGTAGGATGTTGACAAGCTAATGGTTAAGTCGTATGGAGGATGTTGACAAGCTAATGGTTGTCGTATGGAGGATGTTGACAAGCTAATGGTTAAGTCGTATGGATGATGATGTTGACAAGCTAATGGTTGTCGTATGTAGGATGTTGACAAGCTAATGGTTAAGCTGTATGGAGGATGTTGACAAGCTAATGGTTAAGTCGTATGGAGGATGTTGACAAGCTAATGGTTAAGTCGTATGTAGGATGTTGACAGGCTAATGGTTAAGCCATATGGAGGATGTTGACAAGCTAATGGTTTAGCCGTATGGAGGATGTTGACAGGCAACTTACGAGCCATTTTTGAGCTTTTGACAAGTGACTTCAGGATGTGGATTCAGCTGAAACTTGCTCAGAATAAATAAAACTGATTTATGTTTGCTTGTATTTTGAATGCATCATAGATAGGTTTTAAATCTGTTTTGAAAAATATTCTATATAGCGGTGATATGTGTTTGTATGCGACTAAGGGAACATGCCACTTGTTGTAGGACCTCCGAGATCTGGAAGCAGATGAGAGTGACGCATCGAACAATGAGCCAGACTCCTGTCTCATCCAGTATATAATCTTCCCTCCTCATAACAAGACCACCAGAGACAGGTATGTACTTGCTGCCGAATTTGGGCATAATGCCCCCAATAATGAATTAAGCACATGCCCACAATGCCCACAATCATGAATTAAGCACATGACTATAATGCACACAAACATTAATTAAGCACATGCCTATAATGAACACAATCATGGATTAAGCACATACCCCATAATGCCAATCATGGATTAAGCACATGTCCAATCATGATTTAAGCACATGCCCCATAATTGCCCCAATCATGAATTAAGCACATTCCTCATAATGCCCAACCATGAATTAAGCACATGCCCATAATGCCCGAAATCATGAATTAAGCACATGCCTCATAATGTCCATCATGAATTAAGCACATGTCCATAATACCCCAATCATGAATTAAGCACATGCCCATAATTCCCCAATAATGAACTAAGCACATGACTGTAATGCACACAAACATTATTTAAGCACATGACTGTAATCCCACAATCATGAATTAAGCACATACCCCAAATGAACACAATCATGGATTAATCGCGTAAAACTCAATGCTATTTTTGCCTATGGTCAGAGTTTTCCTGGCTTGAGTTTAAACAGAACAGAACTCCGAAGTAAAACTTGTCTGGGACTGTTCAAAACCTAGAGATTTAAAGGATTTTGAAGAAGGTAGGATTAAGGAGACATTTCCTTTGACCTCTTGGAGATATCAAAGCAGTCCTCCTTTGCATGAAGTAGACAAAAATGGAGCTCAGGTGTTCACAGAGGTGAATGAAGGGCTTGAATGGTCCCCACCTTAGACATCCGACTCTGCCTGGTCCCGACTAACTGTACATGTATTTGTGATAGCTCGTATATTGCTGACTGCAGCAGCATGGGGCATCGTTCACACATTTCTGATGCTGCGATCTGACTGATTTAGTAATGACACTGCTGGGCTGCTTGCACTTGGTTGTAGCACTTACAGCAGGTCTGTCCTTTTAGCCAGGAAAACAGCAATGACATGCTACACATCTCCTCCCCCAATGAAGCATTGTTTTGTTGGTCGAATATCGCAAAATGTATTCTAATAGCGTTTGAAGTTCACTAGTTAAAAACAGACACTACAGACACGTGTTTAACACTAGCTTTTCCTTTGGAAGCTGCTCAGAAATATCATGGTCAAGGCGTTTTGCAGTATGTATTGTATTGTGACCTATGTAGCATATGTATCGTGACCTTGCTGTATAGTTTCACCATGAGTAGAAACGTTTGAGGTGAGGTACCAGTATTGTGAGCTCAGTGTGGCTAAGGTGGCTCAGTGGACTGAGGTGCAGCAACTAAATGTGAGTTCAAATCACCGTTTCTTCCTGAGTGTGATCCCAGGTGTCCCAGCCATGTATCAGTGCTCATCGTACTCATGGCGCTTACCAAAATGGTAAATGTCCAAGACCGGCATCACTCGAGCATCCCATGTTGTGATAGAAGTACTATCCATAGAGTTAACCCTAATTCTCTCACTCACAGTGTGTCCGAGGAAGACATGGATGAGATGGAAACAACGGAAGCTGATGGGGAACTCCAGATCGTGACTGAGTGTTGGGTGGAGCCCCAGTATGGAGTCTCTGTCAACAACACCCCTGAGAGGACTCACTTCAACTTTAAAACACACCAGGAAATAGGGAAATCTGTGAGTACATCTCTCCACCATTACTACTTTCTTTACCTTGTTTACAGAAATATCTTTGTTTGAAAACATTTATGGGTGTAAATGTTGCATTAAAATGTTTGAATAAGTATAGTGATAAGGATGACAGCAACTTGAAGTTTAATTTGTTTCTTTGCATGACAAGTCAGAGTTACTTCCTTTCCACATTGAGGTACATGTCTATTTTCTCTTTTGAAATGGCATGAAGAAAGGACTGTCTTCATTTTTATTTGTTGTCCAGTTTGGATATTTTGGCCTGCTGTTCTGTAAACCAAGTAAAGAAAATAACAACTACCATGAACGTTTGTCTCACACAATTACTCACAGTTGGAAAGCGATTGTTGCTGAGACTCTCATCATTCTGAAGTATCAGAGTGATGCAAAAATATTAAACTAGGTGTTTGTTATACGAAAACATAGCTGCCATTGTGCTTCAATTTCTCTCTGACCTATCTTGAAGATGCTTTTGTCTCTTCTTCAAGTTTGAAGTAACTAAACATGATTGTACATTGTGGGAGAATATTTGACATTTTAGCGTTGTACCTCAGACCTATGTTTACATTCCCTGTAGCCTTATATCGACATATGTTATGTGGAACATGTTGCATGGTACTGTTGAATATGGTGAATATGAAATATCTTATTTGATTTGTGCTGAAAGAAAGATTCAACATTATTGATTAACATAAAAACATTCACGGATCACCATGTGGATAATTATTAGTTCAGTTTGATGAAGGAAACTTGATCTTGGTAATATTGAGGCAAACTAAACTGGAACTGTAAACATCACCAAAACAGACTTGGTATCGATATTATTCGGTATCGACTTGGTCATGACACTTCCACATGGGTTTGAGGTACTGAACACAACCAACAAACATATCATCTTAACACTACCAAGGAAGACCCAGACTGCATACAGACCCTCTGACATTACCTAAGGAAGACCCAGTCTGCATACAGACCCTCTGACACAGCCAAGGAAGACCCAGTCTGCATACAGACCCTCTGACACTACTAAGGAAGACCCAGTCTGCATACAGACCCTCTGACACTACCAAGGAAGACCCAGTCTGCATACAGACCCCTCTGACACTACTAAGGAAGACCCAGTCTGCATACAGACCCTCTGACACTACCCAAAGAAGACCCAGTCTGCATACAGACCCTCTGACACTACCAAGGAAGACCCAGTCTGCATACAGACCCTCTGACACTACTAAGGAAGACCCAGTCTGCATACAGACCCTCTGACACTACCAAGGAAGACCCAGTCTGCATACAGACCCTCTGACACTACCAAGGAAGACTCATCCTCCTAACTGATCCTTTAACTCAACAAAGGAAGACTTGATCGGTTTACATATCCCCTGACACTACCAAGGAAGACTTGATCGGTTTACATATCCCCTGACACTACCAAGGAAGACTTGACTTGATCGGTTTACATATCCCTGACACTACCAAGGAAGACTTGATCGGTTTACATATCCCTGACTCTGCCAAGGAAGACTTGATCGGTTTACATATCCCCTGACTCTGCCAAGGAAGACTTGATCGGTTTACATATCCCCTGACACTACCAAGGAAGACTTGATCGGGTTTACATATCCCTGACACTACCAAGGAAGACTTGATCGGTTTACATATCCCCTGACTCTGCCAAGGAAGACTTGATCGGTTTACATATCCCTGACACTACCAAGGAAGACTTGATCGGTTTACATATCCCCTGACACTACCAAGGAATACTTGATCGGTTTACATATCCCCTGACTCTGCCAAGGAAGACTTAATTGGTTTACATATCCCCCTGACACTACCAAGGAAGACTTCATCGGTTTACATATCCCTGACTCTGCCAAGAAAGACTTAATCAACATTCATTCTCTCTTGTGCTACCAAGGAAGACTTAATTGGTTTACATATCCCCTGACACTACCAAGGAAGACTTGCTCAACCTTTGGTCTCTAGCACAATGAGGGAATAACATTAGTTTACAGATCGTCCACAAGGAAGACTCATTCTGCATACAGATCAACCTGCTTGCTGATGCTTTTGACAGTTTGTGACTTCACTACGTATTACAGTCCTGAAAGTACAGTAATTGGATTGGTTAACATTTTAACCAAAAGCATGGTTGAATGTTTGGAACAGATTGCTAAGTACATGTAATAAAGACACAGACAGACACAACATTGCAACAGCTGCAAGTATTGTTAAACAGACAGTGTAGATGATGACAAATATTTCATCAGCAGCAAGTATTGCTGTACTGACAGTGTAGATGATGACAACATTTCATCAGCTGCAAGTATTGTTAAACAGACAGTGTAGATGATGATAAATATTTCATCAGCTGCAAGTATTGCTATACTGACAGTGTAGATGATGACAACATTTCATCAGTTGCAAGTATTGTTAAACAGACAGTGTAGATGATGACAAATATTTCATCAGCTGCAAGTATTGTTATACTGACAGTGTAGATGATGACAAACATTTCATCAGCTGCAAGTACTGTTAAACCTGAAGTGGTGCAGTTCTTGCATTTGATGTTAATGTGCAACCTGATGTCAGCTCAGAATATATGTTATGGCACATGGACAAAGCATGTCATTTATTGCAGTGTCTTGTTGACCAGGATTTTGAATTAATGGACTAATTTCAAATGATGTTTACTGCTCTTGTTACTATCACAATATTGTCTCACAGATATAAGAAGGTGCATAATGCACTCATAATTCTTGATATCTATGTAACTTTTCATGGTAACAAGACCCGTGAAGGTCCGGATTAGAATATTGATCTTCAGTAACCCATGCTTGTCGTAAGAGGCGACTAACAGGATCAGGTGGTCAGGCTCGCTCACATGGTTGACACATGTCATCAGTTCCCAATTGCGCAGATCGATGCTCATGCTGTTGATCACTAGATTTTCTGGTCCAGACTCGATTATTTATAGACCGCCGCCATATACCTGGAATATTGCTGAGTGCAGCGTAAAACTAAACTCACTCACTCACTCACTCATGGTAACAAAGAAGAATATCAGTATTTGACCTGTTTTTCTCTATGTGTTGTTTCTTAGCAATAGTCTAATAGTCTAAATAGCTCATGCTACAGGCCAGATCTTTGGTTGTAATTCATGGTCGTTTCCTTGTAGGGATTCCAGGGCAAGAAATATTGTTGTATCTCATGTTTGTTTCTTTGTATGGTTTCTGAGCCAGAAGAGATAGTGTCTGATGCTTTTCTCCTGATGGTCAGCCCAAAGTACATTCAGTCATGAGGATATGGCCAGTACTTCATATAATGGTAGATGCTTGATGGAGGTGATCCGAAGAGGATGTGTGACTGGTCTACCTGTAATGTGTTCAGTTGCCATGGTAGATAGGACATGTTGCTGCATGTGGTATGTGTGTTTGGGGATTTGTGTAAGCAAGCATTTATATATCTTACACTGACTGGAGAATTATGTGTACTCGTTGGGATTGATCTTAACTGTGGTGAATTACCTCACAAAGGCTAGTTTATGAAAAGAAAGGGAAATCAGAAATGACAAGAAATGGGCCAGATTAACTTTACAATACTGGTATTCAGTAAAATATACAGCTGAGGAAGTGTTGTGTTCCTTGGTAACCAATAAGTAGTTAGTATGTGTCGTAAGTTTCATAGGCCATATGACCACATTCACCCTTCCCTCTTTTCTCTTTCATTCTCCATCTGGTTCCCCATCCACCTCACTCACTCACTCACTCACTCACTTCCTCTCCCTTTCCCTCTCCCTCTTTTTCTTACAACTTGTTTCCCCTATCTGTCCTTTCTCCTACTCCTTCTTTAACCTCTCTTCCTCCCCTTCCCATCTCAACTTCTCTGCCTCCTCCCTTTCTTCCTCCCTCCTCCTATCTCAATATCCCTGCCTTCCTGTCTTCTTCCCCTCTTCCCATCTCAGCTTCTCTACCTCGGTTCTTCCTCTCCTCTTCCCATATCAATCTCCCTGCCTCCTCTCTTCCTCCCCTTCCCATCTCAACTTCTCTGCCTCCTCTCTTCCTCCCCTCTTCCCATCTCAACCTCTCTGCCTCTTTCCCTCTTCTCATCTCAACCTCCCAGATTCCCTCTCTTCCTCCCCTCTTCCCGTCTCAACCTCTCTGCCTCCTTCCCTCTTCCCATATCAACCTCCCTGCCCTTTTCTTCTTCCCCCCCCTTCCCATCTCAATGTCCCTGCCTCCTCTCTTCCTCCCCTTCCCATCTCAACTTCTCTGCCTCCTCTTCTTTTCTTCTTCCCATCTCAACTTCTCTGCCTCCTCTCTTCCTCCCTTCTTCCCATCTCAACCTCTCTGCCTCTTTCCCTCTTTTCATCTCAACCTCCCAGATTCCCTCTCTTCCTCCCCTCTTCCCGTCTCAACCTCTCTGCCTCCTTCCCTCTTCCCATATCAACCTCCCTGCCCTTTTCTTCTTCCCCCCCCCTTCCCATCTCAATGTCCCTGCCTGTTCTCTTCCTCCCCAACCCATCTCAACTTCTCTGCCTCCTCTCTTCCTCCCCTCTTCCCATCTCAACCTCTCTGCCTCTTTCCCCTCTTCTCATCTCAACCTCTCTGCCTCTTTCCCTCTTCTCATCTCAACCTCCCAGATTCCCTCTCTTCCCCCTCTTCCCGTCTCAACCTCTCTGCCTCCTTCCCTCTTCTCATCTCAATCTTCCTGTCCCCTTCTCTTCCTCCCCTCTTCTCATATCTTCACCCTCTCTCCCTTCCTTCTCTTCCTATCTCTTCATTCTCTTAACATTGATTGTATGTTTAACCTGCAGCACCTCCAGCCGGAGTGTATCAACCAGCTTATGCAGCCCACTATCAGTCTATTGCTGTGCATGTAACACTACCAGGCAGTTGAGACTGTGAACTTTGTCTTATTGAAAGATAAGTGCTGAATGATTCACAATGACTCAAGTCACAGATAGTACGAGGGGCCTTGTGTTTTGACAT